GGCTATAGCCTACATCATACTGGCCGATCCTTCCAATGACAGGGACAGGATATTTTAAATTGGGGCTTTCGCCAATAGTAAAATAATTTTCTAACGCACTCTAAATAGCATCGATGTCTTTTCAGTTATTTTAATATTTATTTTGTAAAAGTTAATACTACTAACCTATGATCGCATTAATTGATGAGGTTTGTATTATTTTAATAAGGGATCGATACATGGTGACCCCTTTTTTAAAAAGAAGTAAATGTCACTGACATATGAATATTTAAAAGGTGTTGATGTCATACTTTAAAAGCTGAAACAAAATGCCTTAAGATTTAAGTATTGATGAAGTGACATTTTGGTGCATATAAAACACTTGACCTTTGTGGCACCATGAAAATGTACCTGAGGTAGTTTCTGCTTGACTAGACCGGATTAACGGCGCTGTGTACAGTATGGATATACATTGAGTATACAATATCAACCAGGATCAGACAATTGTTCTCTTAAAATGTGGTAGTCTGATGGTGAAATAACTGCTAGCCAGCCCTAGTGCAAAAATACTACAGATATAGACCAGCCTGAATTATCAAAAGATTGCCTCCACACCCAGCCCGCTATAAGAAACATCCTACGTGTGTTGTCGTTAGGGGAGGGTGACGTTTATTGTGGTAACCAGGCAGGTCACTCACTGGGCCCAGTAGTTTGTTATAGCCGATACAGTTTTTTGATGACAACCTTCATCACATGGATACACAGTGAATACACACTAGACTAACCAGTAGTTGATGTAGATCACACCACCAGAACACAATGACGAGTGAGGACACGTGGTATTTACCCAGTGATACACACGGCACGATCAATCCTTTCGTTTGTCACGCGAATAAGCGTCTAATGGGGTTTTTAAAACCATTCAAAAATATACGTGTACCAAGCATTGTCAATTTTTCTATGTACGACTATTCTCTTCGCTATTTTGTTTTTCTATCCGGAGAAGTCGAAAGGTTAAATTTAAACCATCCCATTTCGTCTCAGTTGCTTTTCTGTTTAAAGTAATTGGTTGATGTAATTAAAAGCACACACATTACCAGACTGAAGTCATAAACAGAATTATAACCTATAGATAGATAGATAGACACATACATATATACATACACACACACACACACACATATATATATATATATATATATATATATATATATATATACACGTGTATATATAATATATATATATACATATATATAGGCATATATATATATATATATATATATATATATATATATATATATATATATATATATATATATATATATATATATATATATATAGGCATATATGTATATAGGTCTATATATGTCGGACGCAAGCGGCCCATATTGCATTCATTGATCTGACCTGATAATACATGATAAAATCCGAGATTGAACTCTTGCAACAGTTGTTGCGGTGATGGAGGGACGAAGCAGTGCTCAACTGTCACGTAGATATCACTCGACTAATGTGACACATGCTAACCGTGTACCGTGTAGGAAATACAGAACTGATTGTATTCATCGGTTTATCGTCTTTTCAGTATGAATCGTATGGGTCATGACCTAACATGGTTAATTGCCCAGAGAACATGATCGCAATAACATGAACCGAGTACTTGGTTTAATGTCATGGGCCATTAGCTTGGTGTTGCAGTTTTGGGGCACAAATAAACGCATTGTGTGATCCGAGGTTGTACAGTGGCGGAACCAATGTCAGATCCCACTTTGTGTAGTGTCGGAGCGGTGTGTGATCTCCGGTTGTGTAGTGCCGGAGCGGTGTGACCCCCGGTTGTACAGTGCCGGAACGGTGTGATCCCCT